ACAATAACTTGCAGAAGCAAAGTCGGCGCCAGCTGGCCTGGTAGGGGGAATGTCAGATGAAAAAATAGTCAGACCCTCAACTGACGCCGCGGGGTGGGAGTGGGGAGTAAATCCCATTCTACAGCTCCACATCCTTCCCTGAGTGGCAATTCTCCGCCTCTTAAGATCCTCCCCTCCCTCCGCGAGCCCCTCCCCAGAGCTGCTCCGTCTGGCCTTCCCATGTGGAGGTCCCTCTCCAGCCCCCTCACCTCTGGGCCCTCTTTACATGGAAGAAGGGAAGAGACCAGTGTCCTCCTAGGCTGGGACAGGCCATGGAGAGGAGCCTAGGGGTCAGGAGGGACGGGGTAGGGGAAAGTTTAAGAGGAGGAGGGCAGAAAGAGGTGGGCGGCTCTGGCGTTCCCTCGATGGCTCAGGGTGGTGGCCCTGGACCTGAAGCTGACACATCTGTAGGGGTTAGGCCAGGGGGAGAGGAAGCACCTGCCCTCTGCCCTAGCTAGTTTGGTTGGAGGAGCGGTAAAAGCCAGGGCTTAGAAACTGGAAAGAAGGAAGGAAATGACTTGGAGGAGCAAATGGGGGCCGGAGAAGCAACAGGAACCAGTTTTTATTTTGGGATGTCGGATGGTTGACCTGATTGCACCCCAAGGCTAGACGGTTCTTCCCTCCCTCACTGTATTATCGTCGAGCAAGGAATGAGGCCTCCCCAGTGGGCTAGGGGACCCACGATAGGATCCTGCCCTGTTCCGTAAGAAGGGGAGGGGGAGAACCCGCGTCTGCACAAGGGCGCCATCCCCCTGCCACCATCTTGCCGAGGTACACCCCGTAAATCACGCTGCTCTCCGCCCACCCCCACCCCTACCCCCGCGCCCTTCCTTTTGGGGGCGCATAATCCCACCGATTCCTGCAGCCCACCTTCCTATTTTCAGTGTTGTGACTGGAGATAGATTCTGGTTAGCGCGCACCGAGGCTCTTGCTCCGGTGGCCTTGAGCTGTGGGGTCGGTAGCAGCGAGACTGGATCCGGACCGCAGCGAACCCGGGGCCCCTCCCTTGGCGGCTCCGCGCTCGCGCGCGCCGCCTTTTCACCTCGAGCCTCGGCTCCTCCCCCGGCTCTGCCTTGACCTGAGCGCTGGGTGCAGAAGGTGCTCTGAGCTGAGGAGAGACCCTCAGTCCTTTCCCCTTCCAGTGTCCACTTCCGAGTCCCGGGCTGAATTCAAGGTCAAGTCGAAGGAGCACAGCTCTCTTAACCTCTGAGATTACCCGCCCCTAGCACAGTGACTGAGACGTTAAAAGGCGCTTGGTCAATGTTTGTTGGAAGAAGGAAGCGGTATTTTGCGCGGGGAAGCCTGGAAATCAACCTCATCTAGGCCGATGCTCCCACAGTATAGAGGCAGTAGTGGCTGAGTGAGATTTGTCAGATTTCTATGGTCTTTGGGTGTCAAAAGAAAGTCAAAATAGGAGGGCCCAGTGAGGGGCAGTAGAGCAGTTAAGAGTTTGCCCAAGGCGTCCTGCTGGAAGAAGTACGGTGGTGTGGGGGAAGGTTGCAGTCCCCCGCTCACGGGTATTGAGGAGCCCTACTCTTCCCCACTCTCGCAGACTCTGGAGGGTCTTGACAGGAAGAAGAGCCCCTGACCGCCAGGCCCAGCACTGACCCGGCCTCTACCTGTCAGTAATTCAAGCATTCCACTGGAAACTGCCTCTTATTCAAGAATTTAGCCTCTCTCAGCAACCTCTTTTCTATTTTTTTTCTCATGGGCCCTTTTCTATTTTTTTCTATGCTCCTGGCCTTACACCCAGCACCCAAAGACATGGATAAGCCCTGTACATCTAGGGCATTTCAGATCCACCAAGCTTTGGTGTGGGGAGAAGAAGGTCTTTGTTCTTGGTTTCCAGGGCCTTAAGAAACATGTTTGGCTTAGGTCGACCCGAGCATTTGATTTGACCTTGACGAGGGATGCTTTAGCCTAGGCATCACAGTCTTCCCTGGAGGAATTCTTCTCACTCTCCGACCGCTTTCCCTAAACCTGCCCCTTAGACAGGACGCCCTTCTCATCACTTCCTGCTCCTCAGACATGCAAAGGTTCCTTTCAACCCCACTTGGTACTTGGTTGGGTAGGTGTGAGAAGGAGAGGAGGATGAGAGAGGCAAAACCTCTGGGCCACAAAGAAGTAGAACAGCTGGGCCCCCTCAAACTGGGATGGCACCCTTTTCCTGCCCCTTTTCCCTTTCTGTAGAACAGGTCATAGCAGTAAAGCAGGCCCTGGGGCTGGAGTCCAAGAGGCTTGTGTGGAATATTTTGTACACGGCTTCCTCTCCCAGCATCTCTCTTTGTCTCCTCTTTCCTCTTTCCTTTGTATGAGCCATTCTTGTTCCACTGACTTATTTCCTCTGCACATGTTAAAAATTTTCGACTTCTGCCTCCACTCTAAGCCAGTCCTCTGTGTTTAGTCTACATGAACATGGGCTGAAGAGGAAAACCAGGTACAATCTAGTAAGAACCACAGCCAAGAGCTCCCAGTCAGGGGAGGAGCTATGTGAGGCAATTTGTGTTAGCAGGGATAGTGGAGAGGCCAAAGGAGAGAAAAGGGAGGTGAGAACATAGGTATCACAGGTGAGGGTCCCCTGTTCTCTTTTGCCTCTGCTCACTCTAGTTACTCTCTGGCTAAAGTCTTCAGCCTCATCACTTCTCACTGCTCTGGTTTCCTGAGTAAAGTACAGAAATCTCTGAGACGATTCGGAAAGATGAACTGGGATGGAATCAGTGAGACCCCTTTGCTCTTGCCTTCCTGCCAGATCTCTAGGGCAGAGGGAGCTTTGGGTAGTGTGTTACTGGTGGGGAAGTTAAGGACTCTCGGGAAGGTCTGAGAAACTCTCAGCTCAGAACATCTCATAGCAAGATCTACTTAAATTGCAAAATCAATGCTGGAAGTACAAACTAGTACAACTCTAAGAGAAGAAGTTAGAAATATTTAACAAAAACAACATATGCATTTACCCAGCAGTCCTATTTCTTGATTTATCCAGAAAATGCATATTCACAAAGACGAAAAGACATGTGCACAAGGTGATTCTCAGAGGCATATTTGTAATAGGAAAGGAAATCACTAGAAACTACCCAATGCCCATCCTTAATAGACCGGTTGAATGAACAAAAGTACATCCACATAAGGGAGTACTATGCAGCCAGAAACAATGAGTAGGAGCCCTATGAACTGATATGACGCCATTTCTAGGATATGTTATTAAATGAAAGAAGCAAGATGCAAAAGAGTGCATGTTGTATATATATCACCTTTGCATTGAGGAAGCAGGAGAAATAAGAATATTTTTTGTGGAGATATATACACACGTATACACAGAAGAAGGAAAAACCAGAAATTAATTAAGATGGTTACCTATAGGGGGTGAGTGGGAACAGGGTAGAAGAGATAAGAATGAGAGTGAAACTTTACTGATTATACCTTTTCAGACAGTTTTGATTTTTTAACCAGGTAAATATTTTATACATTCACAAATTAAATTAGATCCAAAAGAAAGAAAAAAGCAAAGCCTAAAGCTGACCACAACAGAAACGATGAGCCCAACTATATCAGTTTGATCACTGTACAAAGAAAAGAATTAATTCAAGTAATTTTTTAGTTTAATGCCTTGACTCTCTATCCTTAGTTGAATGTATATTCTAAGGCTAAAAAGAATTACAAAAATATCTTGAACTTTACTTTGTAGGTGTGTTATTATTGATCATGGTATTGGTGTCATAAATTGGAAACTTTTTAATTTTTTGTAGGGATCAAATGAGTAACTATGTTGACATTTCTGGAAATCAGGGTTTCACTATGGAA